GAGCATCAGCAAATGCTTGCAGCAAACCATAGTACCCTACTACGTTGGGCCCTAGCCTTCTTTGCATGCTTGCCATGGTTTTCCTTTCTGCTACAGTTACAAAAGCAACTGTTAGTAAAACAGGCACAGTTACAAGCAATACTTCTACAATAGATATCAATGTGGGTGTATATAACATTTAAATAAATAAAAAAAAAAGTAAAATTAATCTATACTAATGGTTTCAGTTAACTTATCTTATCTTTCTTTTTATAAACTATAGTTAAAAAAAACCTAAAGAAAGAAAAAAAAAATTAAAGTTAATGCTAATGACTTTAATAATAATTCATATACATATAAAAAATTAACTTAAAGTCAACGGTTCATTAGTAGAATACCAGCTTAGGATAGAAATTTACAGGTTAAAAAAAGCTAACCAACAGTAAAACACTATGGCATTAGTTAAAGTTTTCTTTTTACTGTTACACTATTTATTATTAGAAATTAATCAAGACCAAAATACATAAGACTAGTTAGTGGTTTTTTTTTGCTTATCGCATATTACGCTACATATAAAAGGTACATAATACATGCAAATCTAACTTTGTAAAGGTAAACTTACAAATGCATGAGGCTTAGGTGGAGAATTTAAAGCTCACTCTAAACTAGTATATGACCTGTTTAATAAACTTTGTAAATGATCTGTGTAAAACTGAGGTGTTAATCATGGGTATCTACTAACTGCCTTACCATTAACAAGTTGTTTATACACAAGGTTTAAGTACACTCATGTGGCAACCACAGAAATAATAGATCCAAAGCTACTTATTAGGTTTCATCCAGCAAATGCGTCAGGATAGTCACTTATCCTTCTAGGCATACCTTGTAATCCTAAGAAATGTTGAGGAAAGAAAGTAACATTAACTCCAATAAAAAATATTCAGAAATGTACTTTAGCTAACATAATGTTATAATCTAAACCTAACATTTTAGGGATTCAAAAATATCAACCGCTAAATAGTGCAAACACTGCTCCCATACTTAATACATAGTGGAAGTGTGCAACCACATAGTATGTATCATGGAATGCAATATCTAATGATGCATTAGCTAAAACTACTCCACTTAATCCTCCAACTGTAAACATAAACACAAAACCTAAAGCAAAAAGCATAGAAGGTGTTAACTGTAATGAACCACCATAACAAGTTGCTAATCAACTGAATATCTTAATACCAGTAGGCACTGCAATTATAAGTGTGGCTGCAGTAAAATATGCTCTTGTATCTACATCTAGTCCAACTGAGTACATGTGGTGGCTTCAAACAACAAACCCTAGTACACCTATAGACATCATTGCATAAACCATACCCAAGTAACCAAAAACAGATTTATTTGAACTGGCTGAAATAGTTGTACTAATTATACCAAAACCTGGAATTATTAGTATATAAACCTCAGGGTGTCCAAAGAATCAGAAAAGGTGTTGGTATAGTATAGGATCTCCTCCTCCTGCTACTTCGAAGAAAGATGTGTTAAAGTTTCTGTCTGTTAAAACCATTGTTATTGCACCAGCCAACACAGGAAGAGATAGTAATAATAAAACAGCAGTAACTACTACTGCTCAGCCAAATAAAGCTAATTTATGTAGTCTTATACCTGGACTTCTCATGTTTAATATAGTAGTAATGAAATTAACTGCTCCCAATAGACTACTTATTCCTGATAAGTGTAAAGCAAATATTGCTAAGTCTACACTAGGACCACTGTGGCTTTGTATCCCTGATAAGGGAGGATATAAAGTTCAACCTGTTCCTGCACCATTTTCTATTGTTGCTGCAAAAAGAAACAAGATTAAACTAGGAGGAAGTAATCAGAAACTTATGTTATTAAGTCTAGGAAATGCCATGTCTGGCCCCCCTACCAAAAGAGGCAGTAAAAAATTACCAAAACCTCCGATCATTGCAGGCATAACCATAAAAAAAATCATTAGTATGGCATGCGCTGTGATTATACTATTGTATAATTGGTTATCAGCTATGTACTGAACACCGGGCCCAGATAGTTCAAGCCGTATAAGCACAGAAAATGCTGTACCTAATAAACCTGAAAACAGGGCAAAGATAAGGTAAAGAGTACCAATATCTTTAGCATTACTAGATAAAAATCATCTTTCAGATCACAGAGAAATATCACTGTGGTTTCTTTCTAGAGTACGCTCATTAGTAACTGATTCTGTATTAACAGAAACAGGCATTCATTGTTTGGGTTCAAATGTGGTGGTGATAGAAAAGGGAAAAATGGATAAATTTTAATTGGTAGATATGGCTCAAATAAGACCAAATTAGGAAAAAAAGACAAGTGCAATACTTGATTATTATCCTCAATACCTACTAATTATAGTTTAGAAAAAAAAATATATATATAAACAGCATAACTATAATCATCATAAAAATACAAGTGATAAATAGTTAAATGCTCGTTGGATTACCCCTGGGCAGGTTGTAACACAAGGTTTTTCTTGGTATAAGCTGTTGTGTCTATTTATACTAAACCATTAAAATGTAGTATAAAGGCACATGTAAACAATATTTATTTGTTATGGTTGTTTACAGTCGACAAAGCAGACTTAAGAGCTATGAGATTCGAACTCATATTAGAGTGATTAAAAGGCACATACTTTACCATTAAGTTAAGCTCTTTTTTAGCAATTAAACTTTTTAGGCCAGTGTAGGAAGAAAAGGAATTGAACCTTCGACGGCTTTAGCCATTGAGTTTACAGCTCAACCCATCATACCAACAAATGGAACCTTCCTTTATAACTATGTATAATTTAACACTACTAATATTAATAACATATTGGTTATCTGTGTAAAACTAATGTAAAGATACGCTACACTAAAAGAATTTTTTTTTTTGTGGGGTGTTGTTAATTTTTATTAAACCCGTGCAATTTCCACTACACGAACCGTATTTCGACTTAACACCAATCAAAGTCACGCATACGAAAGCAACCTAACAAGGTATTTTATAGAATTAGCATCCCTATACAAGTCACTAACTTCCTTAATGAATAACTAAACTAAACATCAACTAATTTTTGATAAGGAAAAATGTTAAGTTGCCAAACTTATTGCGCATACTCCTTTCAGCGCCTGACGAGTGGTTAGTACCTATCTGAGATAAGATTCACCGTGATGTGGTGATTCACGATTACTAGTAATTCCTAATTCATGCAGTCGAGTTTCAGACTACAATCCATATTATATTCTGTTTTAGGGATTAGCTAAGATTTGCATCTTTGCCTCCTTTTGTACAAACATATGTGGCACGTCTATAGCCCACAATATTAAGGTCATGATGACTTGTCTTAATCCCCTTTATCACATCCAAATAAATTGGTGAAATGCAATATGTATAAAATAAAGCAAGGGTTTACGTTAATTTAATGGATCTAACCAAAGTCTCACGACATTAACTAAAGACAGCCGTGCAACACTTGTATTATCTAAACGGGTGAAACCCAACCATACACCTTAAATAACTTAAAAAGAAATAGGGATGTTTGGTTGGCATAACAGATACCGTATTCAAATTGTGGTAAGGTTTTTCGAGGGTCATCGAATTAAATAACATACTTCACTACTGGTTTCAGAAACGGTCTAATGATTTCAGTTCCTGCGTTGCCGCATTACTCTTGAGGTGGAATGCTTACACTTTCATTTATACACTAAATAATTTAATCTATAACATTCATAATTGTCTGCTTGGACTACTAGGGTATCTAATCCTATTTGCTCCCCAAGCCTTCGTCCCTCAACGTCAGTTATTATATAGAGGCTTGCCTTCGCCGTTATCCGTCCCATTAGTATCAAAAAATTCTATCTCTACTCCAATGGTTCTAATATTTCCCTCTCACATAAAACTCTAGTAAATCTGTTCCCTTAAGGGGCTTGAAATACTGTCTAGGTACCCTTTAAACCTAATAAAGATGAATAACACTAGTCTTCCTTGTATTGCCGCGACTGCTGGCACAAGATTTGGTCAAGACATATAGATAGAAAACTGTCATTATCAATCATCTATCTAGAACTTTATTTGACATAGTCAATAATTACATTCCCCCAAATTGCTGGTTCAGCCGTTAGGCCATTGACCAATATTCCTCACTGCTGTACTACACGTATTGGGGTTTTTTCAGACCCAATGTGGTCGATCAACCTCTAAGCTTCGACTACGAGAACAAGCTAGTTAAGTAATTACCTTAACTACTACTTACTCGGTGATATCTTGAACATCTTAAAGCGAAAAATGTTTTTCTTTTATATATTCAACTTTAAATCAGTATCATATACTTTATAAGGAATTTATTTTTCCTTACTTTAAGGCAGACAAAAATATCTTATATTCACCTTTACACCACTTCACTTTAAGAAAAAAGTGACGTACGATTAGCATGTGTCAAGCCTTTGGACAGCGTTCAATCAGAGCCATCATCAAACTCAATAAAAAAAAAGACTATTATATTTACATATCATATATCTTACTAATGTAAATTAAGTACAACCTCTTTGTAAAAAAAACAGGTTATTTAAACCAGCACAATACATCTGTAACTGATGTGGGTCCTAGAGTTTTAATCTGCTCCATTGTTTCGCCTTTATACATCTCACCCCTCCCCTTTCCAACTGTCCATGATCAAGGCAAATTTACGGGTTTCTACATTGTAATGTGTGACACCTACTATACTATCTGGGAGTTCTGCAACAACTTAGTGGTAAAAAGTGTTTAATAAACCTTTTAATATTCTAGTCTTGCCCATGTTATTACTTTTAACGCCTTTGTTTAATTTAATCGCACCTCGAATAGATTCTATCTCTTTCTTCTAGGAATATACCGTGAATTATGAGTTTATGGTTTATTATTTATATTAACAAGTCTTGATCTGTATATAATCTATATTAGTAATGTAATGTGTTTATATATTTTACAAAAAAAAAAAGCATGCTTGTATAGATATAACGGCCATAGGTTAATGGTAGACCGTTCGTCTTCCAAACGATGTGCACTGATTCGAATTCAGTTGGCCGTATTTGTTTCTTTATAAAAAAAAAGAGTTAGTAACTTAATTGGTAAAGGACTTTCTTGTCGAGAAAGTAGATATCGGATCGTAGCCGATTTAACTCGTATGTACCTACTTACTAAGTTTACCGTTCAACTGGTTTTTTTGCAGGTTAGTGTTAAAATTATGAAGGAAAAGTCGCTATTGGTAGGGCAAGATATTTGCTAAATATTGTGTTTATACACCTGGATGTTCAAATCATCTCTTTTCCGTGTATATATACAACATGTATGTGTATAAAGACTTAAATACATGTTTAACTAGGAAAAAACTGCACACAAAAGAAAGAGTATAGTTTAATTGGCAAAATAGGAAGCTTCAAACTTCAAATTCTCAGTTCAAGTCTGAGTGCTCTTGACTAAGCTAAATCACATGTTAGGTTCCTTAACTTAATAGGTAAAGTGTACTTTTGATAAGAGTATGTTCGACGTTCAAGTCGTCGAGGAATCAATAAACAAAAAATCACATGTTTAATTAGATTTTGTGCTGCTGGTTTTTATCATTAGAAAAGAGAATTGGCTGAGTGGTCTATAGCGATAAGCTTGAAACTTATTTTAGTAAAACCTACTAACATCCGTTCGAATCGGATATTCTCTGGAACAAAAACATAAGTGGTCTTTTTTACCACAGCGGGTTAGAGCCGGGTTGGTTAGGCGCCTCATTTGGGTTGAGGAAAAGTTATGTTCGAATCATAATAACCCGATAATGGTTTTTTGTTTTTTTAAATCACGTAAATTAGAACTTAATTTACATTAGTAATGTATTTGATATGTAATGTATAATTTCATCACTACAATGATGGTAAGTATATAAAGAAACTATTACGGATAAATGGGCTATATATCAAAGAGGTTTAAATTTAGGAAAGCCTAGGCAAGTACTTTGAACTCTTGGAAAAATCCAGTTTGTAAACAAAGTGAATTGAAATATCTTAGTAACTTTAGGAATAAAAATCAAACGAGATTCCATGGTTGGTCATAACCGTCATGGAAAAGCCTTTAAAGTAAAATGGATAAAATCTGTTTGAATCTAGGGAAACCTTTCTCTAAGGCTAAATATGATATATAAGCGACAGTGAATAAGTAGCGTGAGGGAAATTTTTGAAATAGTAGTTTTATAAGCAGCTCAAGTTTAACTTAAAAGTATAATTAGAGCGTACCTTTTGCATAATGGGTCAGCAAGTTAATGTTAGATGCGAGAGTATACATGTGACTTTTAGAAAATATGTGGTATAATACGCTTCTAACCTATTTATAGGAGGAAATTAGTACAAACAATTCCTTTTTTCTAAATGTTAAATACGCCCCAGATAAACCAATTATTAATTAATGATTAAGTATCTAATGTTAGACCCGAAGCCTAGTGATCTTACCATGATCAGGGCTATAAAGGCCTGAACGGGTTATCGTTGTAAAGATATCCGATGAATTGTGGTAAGTTAGTGAAAGACAAAACTGACTAGGATAGCTGGTTTTCTGCGAAACCTATATAAGTAGGTAATTTAAACAACATCATAGCAGGTACAGAACTGTGATCTCGGACAAGCCATGTTAAATAAAAAAGCATGGTTTTGTATACATCGGGGAATCGTGAAGATTTTATCGGCGAGAATTTGCTCTCGGAAGGGCAATGATGGATTTTAAATAATCAGACATAGTACGATAAGGTTGTATGTCTAAAGGGAAACAGCCCAGAACAAGAGTTAAAGGTTCCAAAATTATTGTTAAGTGAAAATAAGGAAGTTTTCTTCAAATACAACCAGGAAATAGGCTTAGAAGCGGCCATTTTTTGAAGACCTCGTAACAGAGCACTGGTTTAATAAAATAAGTTGAAGGCACCGAAAATTTAACGGATCTAAAACAATATACCGAAACCTTGTCTATAAGTGAAAAGATATGATAAATTTATGCCAAATAGCCCTTATTAAAAGGTTTAACTTAAACTTGATTGTAAGGTTGTTAGATAAAACATCTTTTTCTTATAGGGTAGCAGAACGTTGGGCACAACTTTGACTTAATGTTTTTAATATTAAGAAAATTCAGACAAGCTCTGAGTTAGACAACCCCAAGTGAGAATGCTGACATGAGTAACGAAAAAGGGACAACCCCTCGCCTTAAGCTTATGGTATTTATAAAGTAACGGCCTCTAAGTTTATTGATATCCTAAAGGATCAAACGATGAGTAAATCTATAGGTATGCCTAACACCATTATAATGATTTGAGTATATAATGTTCTGGAAAAAAGGCATATCATTATTTGTAACGAAAAACACAAATATAATTAACCGTACCTAGATACTACCACAAGTAAGCAAGTAGAGAATACAAAGGCGTTTGAGTTAACAATCATTAAGGAACTCGGCAAAATGACACCGTAACTTAGGGATAAGGTGTGCCATTCTTTTTAAGTAATATTAATTAAAGAATAGGAGGCATAGAGTGGTGTTGTACGACTGTTTAATTAAAACAAAGCACTTTGCATAAGATGACAAATCAAAGTATTGAGTGTGATTTCTGCCCAATGTTGGCTGGTTAACGGATTTTCTTAGCTGACTAAAATAAGCTAGGTTTTGAAGGAACCCCCAATCAATGGCGGCCTTACCGATGAGGGTCCTAAGGTAGCGGAATACCCTGGCCGTTAAATGCGGTCTTGCATGAATGATTTAACGATACAACAGCTGTCTCAATGATTGGCTCAGTGAAATTGGAATAACTGTGCAGATACAGTTTACCTCTAGTTAGACGAGAAGACCCTATGCAGCTTTACTGTTTGTAGTTATTGGATATGATGGTTCAGGTTGTAGTGTATAAGGTAGTTGATAAGATATAATTGAAACACCTTTGCTTAGTCTATCATATAGGTAGAAAAGATACAGGCTTAGTAGTCAAGTTTAGTACCTGTACATAGATACTCTAGCGGTGAAAAGCTGAAAAGCTTTTTATCCTAGATATAGGGGAAAATAAAGATGAAAGGAACTGATAGTCTACAAAACTTATCCTGTAAAAGATATGTTGCCTTACAAAAGGCGCTATATTTGGAGACACTTGCTATTAGACAGTTTATGCGGGGCACAGATCCCATAAAAAGTACCTGGGTGTATCCAAAGTTAATTTTGTAAATTTATTGATTACTTAATATCAATAAGCTAATATCCTTTCTAGTTAGGGCTTTTGCTCTATATTACAAGGGATATTTTTATTTTTACTTTGTAATATGTTGTTTTCTGGTACATACAATGTACAAAAGAAAGTGCTATATTCAGTTACATATCTATTAAGTTAGATTTATTTTTTTTTCTAAGTAAGATTTTAACTATATGGAAAATAGATGCAAATAAACCATTAACATAATAATGTAATGGCTTAACTTATTATTTTTACTATGTTTTACTGCACTCTTAGTGTGATAAAGATGTAAAATAATGATTTTTATTTTTTGCTTTAAAAGTTTAATGGCTTAATCTTGCTTTACTGTTTGACTTACACGTCTATCAGTTGCGTAAGCAGGGCATATGATCACAAGATGCATAAAGGAAAGGTCTTGTATTATTGAAAAAGCTACGCTAGGGATAACAGGCTAATTGCGCCAGAGAGTACAAATTGAGTGCGCAGTTTGGCACCTCGATGTCGGCTTAGCTCATCCACATGAATGCAGGAATCATGAAGGGTTCGACTGTTCGTCGATTAAAGAGCTACACGAGCTGGGTTAAATACG